TATATTATATATATATACTATATATATATATATATATATATATATATATATACACGTGCATGTACAAATGCAAGAAGTATTCTATTGTGTGTCCATAGCCTCATAGTCGAATGTTGCAACATACGGAAAACCACGTACAGCCGAGTGCAATTGCAACTGAAAGTTTTGCGAACACGAATGCGCCCGTATCGATACTCACTCACACGCTATTTGATCAGCTGCAGGCCCCATGACCGAGGCTGAAGTTTCGCGTAGGCCAACTGCGTCGGATAAGTATGCAAATACGACAGCACGGGTGGATCATACGACACGTGTCATACGTAAGTGAGTCTCGTATGACACATTTTCTAAGTCAGTGAGTCGGTCGATGCGTTGGTGCAAAGCATACTCTACATATTATATTGTGTGAATCGTGGAACAGTCTACTCTCTACGCTTTGTGTACATCTTATCTTGAAGCAGTTATGTAGCTATCTCTGTGGTTGTGCAGTACCTAACCTCGTTCTAACTATGCTGTCTGTTTCACACAAATGGTTTTATCTTTAGGCAACTCACTATGAGCACTACGAACACTAGTAGATGAGATGATACGCCAGATGATACTACTAAGCACATCGCTGACTACAACTTCCTCACCAGATATATAGTACTATATCTGTCGTTGTACTTATAATGTATAATAACTTCCACATTTTCAGCGCGTGGAAGCCCTCCTGCGCTTGATAATGCCACAGATCTGAGCCTCCGGGCCGCTCTCTCGCCAATATTCGAGTCTTTGGACAAGGTATGCGGACTGATAAATGCCCGTTTGAGTATTCTTGAGATGGATTAAGTTCTATGCACACGCGGCACGAATAGTATTGCTACTATGCGCAGGTGCACTTGGTTTTTCAATCACATTTGCTTTGGATCATATGCGTATGTAAGCTCGGACGGTGTCGACTCAATCACACCCACTACTTCGAGAGACGCATACGAATGTATGACTATAGTTTTTATCTACCCAAATCAGCCACACAGCTAATATTATTGTATTATTATATTATTACATATATACATATATGTCTATATATATAT